CAACTGCATAAGGTCATATGAGTGCCAAGGGGTGGATGGATGTCAACAGAGAAATCCTTACAGGGAATCAGGCTTACTCTGCTCACCTCTCTAGCTGCAACAGCACAAAGTCTACTTCAACTATCAAGGCACGCCCGAAACAGCCGGTCACAAGAGTGTGACAAACATACAAAAGAAGTAAAGGAAAAAATGAAGATGTTAAGGATTAGGAAAGAAAAAGCAGCATTTCCCTATTGCAGTTCAGGCACAGTTATGAGCATGACATTGATAAATCAGCCCATTTACAATTCTACTATGCATAAGAACAGGTTAATGTCCCACCCCCTCCTCATTTGGGAATGGCTTAAAGTATGCTTCCCGGGAAGCTGAGAATGTTTCGGAGTGTTCTATGGTCTGCTGGGGTAATAATATAGTGTAAAGCGCATAGAGCCTGCTGTTGAGCGGGAATATGCGCTATACAAATGCTATCTATTATCATTATCATTATTAAAGACAACTTGAGTCAGTAGTACCGCCCTGGGGGAGGTATAATATAGTGTACAGTTCATTCAATTATCTGTGGATTCAAACAGAGGGTGGGAACAAAATGGAACAAAATGGAACAAAATGGAACAAAATGGAACAAAATGGACCAACTTTTTCTTTCTTGGTGCCTGTCTCCTGCTCCGTCTGCTGGTGGGGGTCAATGTCGTCTGGGATCTCCAGGATCATGTTCTCGTCGTTGGGGTCCAAGGTCATGACCTTGGGGCTCGGTATGCTGTCCATGTTCTGGGGAAACAAACATGCTCACTACATAAATCAAACTGAAGATACAACTGGTCTTAGAGAGAGATCACACAAAGGTGTGTGTGTGTGTGTGGGGGGGGGGGGGGGGGAGAAAAAGTTAAAGATTTGGTTTTTCATTTCAGTGAGACTCTTACGGCATTTGCTACATAATCAGGTCATAAAGGTGCCAGTGATTAGAGGTTTTACAAAAGAGTAACATACTAAGAAAAGAAGGAGGAGAAATAACGAAGATAGATATTTGATGGGAAAGAGGGAGCAAACCACAACAGAGCACCCACCAACCACCCACTAAACCAGTCGCTTAAAGCTTCGACTTTTCGTTTTGAACAACCTGAAATAAATCATAGATGATCCAGCTTTATGATGGAAATAGTTCTTTTACCTTTCAGACCCCAAAATGATGTGTCAAGACACGCACAAAAGAAACGCAAAATCTGACAGACCCCTCCTCACCTCGGCATCCCAAATGATGTCGTCCTCCCAGTTCTTGTAGACCAAGGCCTCATTTTCAATGGGGAAGATGGAGTGCCACTCCCCGTCCCTGCTCGGATCACTGTCCAGTCCTTCAACAACAGTGGGGGGGGGGGGGGGGGGGGGGCAGATTGGTTTGAGTAAAGAGAAATACATCAACGCACTAACGGTCATATAGTGTTTTAGAAATACATCAACGCAGTAACGGTCATATAGTGTTTTAGAAATACAATAACGCAGTAACGGTCATATAGTGTTTTAGAAATACATCAACGCAGTAACGGTCATATAGTGTTTTAGAAATACATCAACGCAGTAACGGTCATACAGTGTTTTAGAAATGCATCAACGCAATAACGGTCATATAGTGTTTTAGAAATACAATAACGCACTAACGGTCATATAGTGTTTCAGAAATACATCAACGCAATAACGGTCATATAGTGTTTCAGAAATACATCAATGCAGTAACGGTCATTTAGTGTTTCAGAAATACATCAACGCAATAACGGTCATTTAGTACAGGGAAAAAGCAAGACAGGCAAAAGCAATAGAGTGAGAAAAAGAATTGACCTACGGATCCAGTTCCCCCATTGACCTACTGACCCAGTTCCCCCATTGACCTACTGACCCACTTCCCCAATTGACCCACTTACCCCATTGACCCCTGAACCAGTACCCCAATTGACCCACTTATCCAGCTCCTCTACTGAACAACTGACCCAGTTCCCCACTTGACCCACTTACCCAGCTCCCCACTGAACAACTGACCCAGTTCCCCACTTGACCCAGTTCCCCACATGACCCAGTTCCCCACTGAACAACTGACCAGTTCCCCAATTGACCCACTTACCCAATTCCCCCATTGACCCCTGAACCAGTTCCCCAATTGACCCACCTACCTAGCTCCCCTACTGAACAACTGACCCAGTTCCCCCACCAACAGCCACTACCACTGACCTGGTTTGGACAGCATCGACTTAGACCGCTGTAGAAGCCCAGACTGGGACCGTGCTGTGAACAGATCAAACAAAACAAAACAATGCGGTAATACGACAGGGTCATACAAATATTGCTTGCTGGGGAAAAAAAAAGAAAAACTTAATGATCGGAAACAGAGACAGACAGCATATGGATGTGTAATTGTTCAGTTGTAGAGGTTGTCTTCCTAAAAATGTTGGGACTTTTGGAAAAAATGGCTCAGGCATACAAACAAAGAAAGTTACAGAACCATTACAGTCTTATA